ACCGAACGTGCCGACGCGAGAGAATCGTAAATAAGAAAAAGCTCGCTACGGTTGCGTTGTCTCGATCACGGTCGACCGTTGCTTCTGGAGGGAGGGCAACGCGTGGCAGCTCGCGTCTCTTGTCTCCCGTTGTTTGTATTTCGAACCGATAGTTTCGAAAACACGGCAAACCACTCCGTCGCTCTCACCTTCGAGTCGCGCAGTAACCTCGCGGTAAATATTGTTAAACGACAAGTTCTCGGAAAACGTGAAAACCGTGTACTCCTTGACACTAATCGTTCGGAAGAAAGATTCGAGAATGCGATGGAACGACGTCGTGTCCCTCTCACGGCGAAGACGGTTAATTTTACGCGAACCAACTGAATTGCTTTAAATTTCGAGTTCCGGTTAAAACTTCCGGCCCTACGACTGCATACGTGGTCGCGCGTACGACTCGTTTTGTACCTCGCTTCGCGACGGACGTTATTTTCCACTTTGCCAAATGAATGATGCGTTTAGGGACTCGAGCGTTTCCTGTTGATGTGGACGATACGAAGCCAAGCGTCGAGGTCGTGCTGGGAGGGAATGTCCCTTAGAACGAACGTAAAAGATGGTAATTTCGGTCGACGTTTCGACGAAAAGTAACCTGTTCTTGCGGTGAAGACGACCGCGTCGGTAAACGTGCGTCCGCTGTGACCGAAATCTGACGACCGATGCGACAGAAATCTGATTTACCGATTCATCGTGGGGGGAAAAATATTTCGATATACATTTATTGATTGAGCTAGTTTGGTTATTTCAGAATTAATTAGAGAAAATATTCAAAATAATAACTATCCTTGTTGGTGTACGTAAAGATATCGTTTGAGACTTGTAATCGTACTAATTGCATTATCTGATGCCAGGTGTCGCAATAGGTCGATTGATAGATCGCGACCGGTAAATTTATTCTCAAGATAATTCTCCACTCTGTATATTGTACCCATAGTTTTCATGTAACTGCGGCATACACTTCGCCTTTTAACAATTACTGTCTGAGTATATTCATGAAATAAACGAATCACTGAAATATTCGAATATATCAGTATACAAAAATTTGACGTGTAAAGTTCTAGTTCTAATCACCAGAAACTAACACCGATACTCAATTACAGATCATGCCAGCAATCGTTATCAACGATTCCTTCTGTCCCCACAGTTGATAAAGCGTGTTCACGATCCGCGCACCTGTTTAAAAGAACGTCTATCTCATAAAAGGAAATTACACAATCCTGAGTACCGAGATCAGTAGCAGTGATCTTGTCACGTAACTGAATATGATAATTAGCGTTTCACAGAAGAATCACATGACAGCGCCACTCATAACGCGGAAAAGTCCCTGATGTTCGGTCACGGTTCTTGATTCTTCTAATGTGGCGTTCCTGCAGCGTCATGGCGATCAATTACGCTCTACAGTTTGACCGACAGTTTCGCGAATCGAAGAGTCTCGATTTTTCCCCGAATTTCCGCGAGATTGCCTCCGCCGCGCATCGCTTCCAGATTTGTCACAGTTCTCACGCATGTATATCGAAAATGGCATCAGCAAAGTGCCCTGATCGAGTAGAAACAGGTGTCGTACGGACCCTTATTTAGCTGTTACAGAAAACTATTTATAAACCGATGGAAAATTGTTTTAAATAATTAAAAGGGAGATCTCGATCCAAAATTCAAAATGATGGTATTAAAATCCGTGATACTGTGTTCGTAACATGCCACCACAAGACGACATATACCTCGTCTGTGATACCACCATCCCTACTTTGGTATCCACTCGTCGGGTACATTTTTAGTCGAACGAAACTTTTACTCGTGTCTTACGAATGAAAGCTCAGTCTGGACGAATTATTTTTAGCTAGAGAATTAACTAGAGAATTAACTAGACAAAAATTTATTCGAATCGGTACCCGTTAAATTTGCGCCCCTAGTACGTAGTGGTTACGTACGTGCCTGTTTTAATTTGGCGCATGCGCGAGAATCGCGTCAAAATGTGGTAACGCTGGTCGCGCGCGTCGCAGAATAGACGAACGAGGATAGAAATTGTCGAATGCGAGGGGAACGTGTGCATGCATGCATACGTCGACGCGTCCCTTACACGATGCAACAGATTTTTGGCACGCGAGAACTCGCGCTCTATTAATAGGGCACCGCGTATCTTTATTTTCGTCCGCGATTTGGCGACGCGTTCAAATACGAAACGCTCTCACACGTTCCAGCGTACCACGTGTCGACCGCGGAGCTTGCGCGATTTCCGCGTGCAATTTCGGAGCGGTAATCAGGCTCGATCGATGACGCGGCAACTTGTCGCGTGTTCTCGCAACAGCGGCGGCGATGAATTTCGTTTCACGGTTTGCCCGATCATCGGCTGGCCTTGTCGTTTAATTACAAAACGAGTCTCTCGTTAAACAAACGCACGATGCCGAGCATCGACGACAATGACTCATCGTCGCTGGTCGCGGGCTCCTATCGGACGAAGCAAATCTCACGCAGCGATAACGAGCAAAGAAAGATTCCGCGCGGCACGGAACGGTCGTATATTTTTTCTTTTTTCTTTTTTCCTCTCGACTCGCGGATCCTTGGCGGCAATCGTAACGTCGGGCTGTGTGTCACGATTAAGCGATTTCCAAACAGCAACCAAAGATAACGGTTTTCAAGGTTTTTTTCCGCGACGATCGTTCGCGAATCGAACCCAACTATACCGATCGCTATCGAATCGAATCGATCCCGATCGATTACGCTCGCCCGGGGATACGTCAACGCGCCGATGCAGGGGAGGGACTTCGATGCAGCGTGCGTAGCGCTCGTCGCGATTATCGCGCAGACAATTTTTCCGTGTTACGTAATTTTCGACGGATATTTTCGAACGAAGCGTCTCGGCCAAGTACGGAAACTCTAAGCCTCGCCAGGTGGAGCGAGTACCGATACCGGAAGAGGGAGGAAGCAGACGCGGGAAATTATGAGATTCAAGCATGGGGATGGTTAATCGTTACAATTTAGATAGACGATGTTAACACGTTCGCTGCCAGATCAAAACCGTATAATATTCTGTAAAAGTGAAACGTTGATTTCAGACCATTGTAAGCTACATAACCTAAAATTTGTTTCAGCAGTTATTATCGTAACCTTGTTGAAATTCATAAATTCTATTCAAACTTATTTCCCTCAACGTCTCAATTTGAGAATTAATTTTTCTAGTATCATAATGGTAAATCCTGTCACCCATATATGGTATTATTCAGATTTAGATAGATCCACAGGAGAGGATCCTGAGTAGGACAGGAGGCATATGTAAAATATATATTTTTGATACTGCTTTTGCGTGATTTAGAATTTTTTTACAATTCATTTAATTTTCAACGGAATCTTGCTTCTCCTCCATGTTGGATTTTTTCCGAATATGTACTCTGCCGCGCGATTGTTCTTCGTATCTTTTCCTTTCCTTGCGTCGACATTCCTGAGCATTCTCCGATAAGTGTCCAATTCGAAGAATGACATGTTTTATTACATCGGATTCGTGTTCTACAGTTACTTGCATAAAATACTATGTATACAGTTCCAGACATCTGTCTAACGTTTCTGAGGTACGCTCGTTGAAAGCTTCGATTTCATAATCGCATGAAATTGCGTCAAGCAGAACTAAAAGCCTCGTAATTAAAATTTCATCTTCAACAGTTATGCAAGCTGATACAGATGGATTTGCAAATAAACGGCGAGCTGTATTTCCGTCGCCGTTCGTATAATAATCTGGTTTTACCGTATCCTTCAGAGGAGTACCATTTCAAAATGAGATATTTTTATAATCTCTTAAAATTGTTAAAACAATGAAACATTCAAATTTTTGTATATTAATAATACATTCATCATTGAAATATAATAATTATAATATTATTCAAATGTTTAAAAGTATTAGGATTTATTCATGGCAGGCGTTCTAAAAAAACAGTGTATCTCTCAGCGACGGTCACCGGTGACCGACACAGCCTAAACGAGAAGACTAGCGACGGTCACCGGTGACCGACATAGCACTGAACGCGTAGAATTTGGTAGAAAATCGTTTCACTGTCGATTGTATGACGAATTTGTCCAAATTTTCCAAAATATCTGGACGCATAAATCACTGAGATAACAATAATAATAATGAATAATAATGAATCTGCAATAGCTGAAAATTAAAATATGTTATTAATCCAAGGATTGAAGTATTCTTTCTGAACACATTGACTCTTTCGACACTCTAACGAGATTAAAACTTTTTAATAAGAAGCTAAAAAATAAATTAATAGTATTCACAATTTAAAATCCTTATTTGTATTAATTTTAGATTATGCAGTTTATGATTGTCTAAAGACAAATTGTTTAAACTTTGACCATCATTTTTGTAACCTTTTGGTCGATCTAGTTAAAAAGAAAAGAAAAAGGAAAAATACTACGATCATCGAACTTAAATCAGGATTATATTCTAAGCAACCTCCATCGATAATTACAGGATGTTTTGATCTTAAACTAAGTTCTAAATACAAGCAATAAATTAAAGAATAATTTTTGAGTAATTTATCAGGAGGATTTTGAATATACGGTTGAATGTTTATACGAATCGCAATTAATTGTCAACGCTCAATAATACACGATGAATTCGAGTGGTGGATATATTTTTAGGATACATTTTATGGCATCCTTATCGATCAAAATATATCTTTTTATTAATTGAGCTTCCGATCGATGTAAATGTTTTCTTAAGTAACGCAATTTAACAAAAATAGGAACTTAACCCTAATCCTACCGTAATGTGAGTTTAGGACGCATGTCGAAGTATGAGTAACAGCGGGATCTATAAATAAATTGTTTCATAATATAAAAATAAATATATTTTATAATGTAATATATTAAAGGCTGTTAATATATAAGTTTACATATATGTATACTTTGGCCTGTCATATTATAAACTAAATGTTTGGTACAGTTTACTTTTATGATACACCCGTTAACTTCTATTTTAACATTTCTTGGCAACTACTTTCATATTTTCTCGATCTTTGTTTTATTTCTGGTCATAAATTCTGAATAGGTTTGATGTAAAAGCTTCGTGGGCAGGTTACCAAAAAATATGTGTTATACGGTAACTAGTATTAACAGTATGTCATACAGCAACTAGAAATTTTTAATTCGTATCCTGTTTTCTTGCACATTCATAGTATATCTATATAAATCATAGTAACTTTTCCCTTACCAAAAATATCATCAAATATTCTCGGAAATTGATGTTTTTATCGATATATATTTTAATACAATACATATTTAATACGAGTACCTTTACTAATAAATGTCTTTCCCCGATCATTAAAGTCTTCTCTCCTAAAATTCTTTGACAGATTGCTATATTTTCTTCTTTATATCGGTTGTTGCTGGATTTCTTAAGTTTCTTTTATAAAAATTGGTTTTATTCCCCTAAAATCATTAAATTGATTATTGGTAAATAGTTTGTGTTAAAATTAAAATTTAATTCTTTTAAGGAAATAATAAATAATGTATTCTTACATTTATCTTAAAAAAAAAAGTCTTCTTTGGATGATGCAGTGCGAACACCCTTACGACACACTGTACGGTTCATCAAACATCGTTTAATTCTCGGTTTGGTAATCTATTTCAAAAATTAAATGTGTGTCAATACTGACAGAGCATTTTTCATATTTCGTAACGACTCTTGCTACCTGTCATGAATAGGTGGCAGACATCGAATTCATTCTTGAAACGAAATGATAAGAAGACTTATTTAAGATTTAAACGATCTGTAGCTATTGATATAACTCGCGAAAACCATAATCTTTATTTAATTTTGTCGATTGCGGTGTACTTTTTAAAATTTATTTTAATTCGAGAATCTAAGTTCCTGCGTCGGGTTCAACTAACTATTTTAAGTATTTCGAAGTGGCGATAGTTATAAATAATTTAAGAAAAATTCATAATTTCGTAAGGTTCGTTTTCACTGAACATAAAGTTATGGTTTTTAATATCGTAATCATATGTCACGATTTTACAATTACATCACACTTAATGAATAGATAGTTTTGTGTTTTGACATGTGTCAATAAGCAACATGGCGCTCATTGATATGATGTTGATGCCTTTTAACATTTCAAAAGAAATTATTTATGTGGAAAATTATAAAATAAATAAAAAATGGGAAATAAGTGTCAACGTATCATAACGGGACATGTGAGTGGAATGTCATGACAGCGCGACATTCAAGTTTTCACGGTGACAAGTGTGGCATTCCGTAACAGCATTAAACGTCGTGTTTTCTGTCGCGTGAAAATCACGTATCTTAATTATAGAAAGACTGGAAAATGAAAAGTTAGCAATCAGTAAGAATATCTTAAAAATATTCCATATTTCCATGTCAGAAATAGCAAATAAAAATAGTTGGGTCGTTTATTAAATGCAATTTTAAATGAGTATGAGTTATAAAAATTAATATTAAAATAATTCCGAAAGGTCGATCCCTCTCAATAAAAACGTAATAAACAGGAACAAAATTTGGTCGATGGGTTCGAAGATAAAACAGAACCTATCTACCGCTAATACCCCGTCATAAACTTCCAAAATTTGTTAGCTCGAATTGTCATCCAAGATAAGACTATGTAAAATTTCATCAGTCCTACCACGATCTCTTCTCGATATACCTTGAAAAAAAAAGTGTGCAAACACTTGAACTCGTATGTACATCGTTTGTCTGGAAATTTTGCTTACATAAATTCTTAATAAAAAATGTAATTAACCCTTAACTTAAAATCAAATGTCTCGAAACCCCATGGGAAAGATATTACGCGTTAAGAAAGCAATATGAGTATGTCAATGACTATAGTTAAGAGTACGCATCGCTTTGAACCGTTCCGTTCGCAAAGGATACGACATTCCTTCGTCGACGCGTCTCGAACTATTCGAATTTCCAGCGCGAAGAGCAATCAACGTTCGCGCGCATTCGTTCGATTGGGGGGATCGAAACGAGACGATAGATGGCGCGAGCGCGTCCAATCGGCGGTACGGATCGATGAGTGGCGCGCTACGATTGGCCGACGGGCCTCGGTTCGTTTCGTACGAGCGGGCACCGCGCCCCGCGGCCCTCCCCGTCCTGTTGAAACGCCGGCCGAACTAACACGAGGGAGAAAGAGAGAAAGAGGCAGGTGCGTGCTCGCTCCCGACCACGGGATCATTGTTAATCATCGTTATCGGTGTGCACGAAAACCGTCAACCGATTTGCTGCTACGAGGTCGATTACAAGCGCACAGTGAGAGCAGTCGTCGCGTCCAAGCACGTTCACGCGTCCGTCGAGAGTGTCGTCGTCGCGTGTCGCGTCGTTGACTTTCCAGCGTGATCACAGTCTTTTGCCTTCGGCACTCGGGCGTCGTTGTTACTTCGTTTGCCAGTGAGAATTCCGGTGAATAATCAAGTCTAGTCGGCACACGCACCAAGGCACGAGCGGTCGTCGTCGTTGTCGGCGAACAACGTGTCAGGAACGAGGAGTCGCCCTCGTTGAACGGTTCGGGTTTTTCGTTGCTCGCGATCCACGATCAGGTCCACGTATCCACGGTCACAGTCACAGTCACGTCCGAGCTCGTGTTCCGAATAGAAGAGCAAACGAGGAAAAGCTAGTTGATCCGTCGCGCGTTTCTACTCCTTTACGTGTTGTCGTCGCGCGTCGCACGCGGGATGAGCGGCAACGGCAGAGCGAACGGCGAGAACAGAGGACGGAATGGCCACGTGCTTGTCTGGGAGCAACCCGGCCTGGAGGAAGAGGACGGATCTGCGCGAAAACGGAGAAGTATGCCAATCACGAGAACCCATCTCGCGTCTCGGTTCGATATCGTTTCGAAACGCGTCCCGAAAACGACTCGACGTGAAACGGCTGCGCGAGATATATGCGTATAACGTATATGTCTCTCTTCGAAACGCGTCTCGGGCCACGTGCTCCCGCTGCCGTCACTGTCGACTCCGTTACCCGCCCTTTCTTCTCTCTCGCCCGCCACTCCAGCTCTGACCATCTATTCCCGCCGCGAACGTGTGACGCACGGGCGTTGAACCTTTTTGGAATAAATACCGTGGACGGTGTTCTATCGAACAACACGCGTCCAATTGCATTCGCGTAAATATAATCACGCGTGGGTGTGCACTCGTTCGCTCGAGCCTTTTCTCGCGTTCGATGTTGTCTCTTTTACGTTGTCGTCTCTTTCTCTCTGTCGAGCCCCTTTTCCCGCGTTCCCGAATTCATTTTTTTTCGTTCGCCAAACCCCCTCTCGTTCCCGCGCTCTACTAATGCCATAGCTCGAGTTTCGACGCAAAAAGCCGGAACGCCGAACACCTGGACCCCTGAATCTCGAAGGGGAGAAACTCGTCCTGTTGTTGTTATTCTCACTGTCGATTTATACATATACCTCGTGTACATTGACAACACGAATACTGCATACAAACAGAAAAGGAAAAAGTTCCATTAATCGGTGTTTCGGTATTAGAGATAACTCGTCGAAATGAAGTAATAATAGGGACCATAGACGTAGCGATTTATTACACAGTGAATCGTACGTCGACTGCAATAACAATCGAACGTGGCGCCATACTGTCATACAGAATTATCGCTCCCTACAACAGATCGTACGATAATTCTACGAAATTTTTAATTATTATTCGAATAGTGTCGTTTATAGTTGTACAAATTCTTGCAAGAAAAATCGTAACATTTCAAAAATTTTTATTTCTGTTAAAATCACGTAAATTTCATTTATTAGTTAAATTATTGAATTTTGTAAGTATTATTAGAAGGAATATTATAATTGTATATTTTGTTTCGTAATCATTATTGTATCTTACCACACAGCACCATACATCGCATAATACATACAATATAGTATATGAAATATACTAAATAATTATCACACATACTCTCACACTCTTCCTGGAACACATGCGCGCTCACATATAAAAGATTGTGTCATAATTTACGTAGGAAATAAATATTTTTTCATCTTATCTAAAAATTGATTGCTTTTAAGGGAAACATATTTGTATCTTATCTTTAATCGTATAATTTGTTAGAAAATGTATACAAACTTTGTTGGGCACACTCGTACTTTCGTGATTTATATAATTGATTGCCACATTTGAAGCTATAAATAAGTATGATTAATAACGCATACGTAAACCATCGATGCATATTTCTAATACTAATTTTTCTTTTCGTTTTAGTCATCATTTTAAAGCAATATTGTAGGTAGTGATTTGCAGTCTGACCCATTACAAAATTTCATGTGAGTACATTTCCTGAACTCATCAATCATTTCACAGGCAACACTCTTGCTTAGATGAAAATGTTGAATAATAAATGAAAATCAATTTTTCATCTATTACTGGTTGAACGAAGATTAAAATAAAGTTGTTTTACAGTGAATAAGTACAACCTTCTTCGAATGTCTGTTAAATCGAATAAATCGCTACGTGTTATTTTTATTTCACGTCGAATAGTTAAATAAATTTTTGTTCATCTCCGCTTATGAATCACTGAAAATATGTAGTTTTCTGGAACTGTCTAAACACTCGACGCGTTGTTTCCAATGAGTCAACGAACGGATCGTGTAGGTTACGTCGCAGTGGTGTAACTGCGATAAGGATCGATCGATCGATATATCGAAGTACATACGTAATCGTACAATCGTTTCTTTTGACAAGGGAAAGTTACAGTAGTCTCATTGCAGATATTTTGAAATTTGAAACGCTGAATCTAGAGGTAAAATAGTGTAGCACATTTTTTATAAACAATTAAAATGTGTGATACCAAAAACGTTCGATAAGGAAGTCAAGAAAAAATATCTTGAAACGAAAGTAAAAACATAAAACATTAATATAACATATCTTGAAACTGTTGCGTAATATAACGAGGAATATAAGAGAAAAAAAAATTTCTCTTCATATTGTACAACAATTTCTGAGTATGTTGGGATAATATTATCAATCTGCGTGTAAAACAGTCCGTTTTTACGTCTGTATTTTTGTTTTAACATATTTTCTCGTGTGGAATGCACGAAACCAACAGCCGAAACGTCGATGTTAATAAATGTTACATAAATATCTCGAGCTACACTTTTACTGTCTATAAGCAAGTAACTGACTTCCTGTGTGTATAAAAAATTGTACAAAATTTGCTTCTTGAAAGTGAAGATTTTTTATACGTTTTCATTGTTGTTACAACAGGCTTCTAAAACGTTTTAAAAGTTCAAAAAAAATTTATAAAACAAAATGTTTATTTTGTTAATGATATGGTGTCGTTGTTCAGCGTCTAGATTCATCTCTTCAAATTCCATTATTAATCTCCAGTGGCGTAGCCATAGAATCAGAGTTAGGCAAAATTTGTCGAAGAACGAATCCAAAGATTTTTATTTGTTATTCGTGAACAAAATTTGTCCAAGTTTGCGTAGAGTATCGGATTCCGTGACACGGTTTCCTGCGACCGCAACACAACCAAAGGTCGTCGAATGCGTTGGAGCGTCATTGCGAAAATAGCCGAAACGCAGAGGCTCGCGATAAATGCTTCGATCGACGACGAAAGTGAAGTTTTCACGCCGGACTTTGGCGCTCGCTCGATTTACCGATGTATCGCGTGACGCTCGATCTCGCGACGCGAGTCGATCGCGAGGCAAACGATCGGCAAGTGGTCATGGCGCGTAGACAACCAATCAACCCCATTGACCGGACAAATTTCTATCCGGATAAAAACATCGAAAAAAGAATAAAAGTTAAACAACCGTTAACTCGTTAGTCGTTAAATAAAAATGAAAAGTTAAATCGTAGAATGAAATATTTCTCGACTAACGGGCCACAACTTAATCGTCTAAATCCAAATAGATCGCTGAAAAAAGACCAGCGTATAGTGATTTATATAAGACGTTTAACCGATCAATTTTCTAGACCTATTTATTCAACGAATAACGGATAAAATTTTCTTCGTCTTTTAATCGTTATTCGAAACCTTTATTTAGAGAAGAATTTCACCTATCTCTGCAATTTGCAGCGAGTCACGATCGTGATCGCAATCGTTCCACGGCGTCGCGTGCGCGAACTTAATAATTCCCCCCTCGTCTCGTCAGTCTTGGTTCTCTTGGTGCTTTAACGATCTCCCTTTCTCTCTCGCTCTTTCTCGTACTGTGTATTTGACGGCGCGAGTCGTTAACGTGCTATAGGATGGCACGGTTAAGCTATTTCCACCAAGCGACCACGTGCTCGTCGGCTGCTTCTCAGCTGCTCGGCGGCGACACTGTCGACATTGCCGCACACTTTGCCAACCAGCCTCGAGGTTGCGTACGCGTTACAGTCTTCGCTTAGCGACGACTTCGATGGAAACGCTTCAAACCAACCTCGAACTTGACCCACACCAGAAATGGGTAAAATTGTAATGGAATAATAATAAACTATGTACATAGCGTATACTTGATCCCTACAACTCGAATTTATAACACGATTCCAATTCGCCTCCGTATCATTCGTACGGCTTGATTCTACTTTCGGTAATTATTTTCATTTCCTCTATTTCTCGTCTTCTTATACCATTACAGATTAGAACAGTGTAGGAAAAACATTATTACTGTTATTCTGAGGCTGTCACCAGCACGCTTAAAAGTGCAAACTGAGTTCGAAAAGAGGTCACCACCGTTTCAGAGGTTATGTGTGTTCCTCGTTATGGACTATTTCTTTCTCGAATTCTCTTTGAATCAAACGTTGGCGAGTGTTGAAGTAATTTTAACGGAGCAATTGATAGGATCGTTCCATGATTTTAACCAAGGAAATTTCATTGCCGGAATGTCTTCTGTTGTCGAAATGTTGCGAAGCAAGGAAGTTCGACGTAACGTAGGAATTAGCGTTCCAGGAATTCTATGCGAAACTTCGTAATCTTGAAAGTTTCGAATTTCTTCCAAGACATACAGTTTCGAACGCTCCTCGCTGTTCGTCGGTCGATTCTGTCGGTCGACTACGTGAGCCGACTCGAATCCGTCCAATGAGTTAAACAAGCTTAATTGAATACCGTGACTCCTTAACCCACGACCAGGGATTTACTCTTGCAGATTGTAACGCCGAGTCAGCGATTTATGAGCCATTAGTTGCCATCTTGCAAGGAGGCTGCAGGAACGTTCAAAGTTCAGACGGTCCATTAATATAATTATATATCGGTGTTTGTCCTTTTCGAACACAAAATAATTTATATTTAACTACAAAAGTCAATGCACACAATTTGGAAAGTAGACGCTAAGCATTTGGCGAATATAGAGTTTAACCGTACATGTCGAAGATAAAGAAAAATTCACGTCACGACCAAAGCTATTTGCCGAATTACAGGTTCTATTTCTGTTACTGCTACGAACAAGCATACAATTAGTTCTGCACATTGTTATCCGAACGGAAGAACGCATCTAACTCGCAAGTCCTATTCATAGGAATAATTTCGAGCAAGTCAGGCAAATTATTTCATTCTTCAGAATTTTAGTAACAATAATATGTCACTGTATTAAAAAAAGATAACCTTAAAATCTTCGATTAACTTCAACTGGAACAAAGAAACCGAGTTCGATTCGAAACGTTGTTTTAACCAATCGTTAGATTCGGATATAATTACGTGGGAAGATTAGAAGATGCAATACCATGTGTTAAATATAAAAGGTAACAATTTAAACGCTACCAGAAGATCGAATCTTAAAATAAGGTCATGTCTAAGATTGTTCTCTTATGTACGTTTAAAGGTATTTGTATACCGATCATTCTGAACGATTCGTTCCAACATACCCCGAGAGAACGTAATTGTTAGGCACAGAATAAT